AGAGGGAGCTTTACGAAGCTCATGGGTTAGTGGACAAATTCCAAACAGCTTAAATTCAAAAAAATAAAGAATCAGTGAGAAAAATAGAAATGTATTGACGAAAATTTGATGTGGATTGTATTTTTAGTGTAGGGCTCTCAAGTTCCTACAAACATAAATATCTTTGACAGACAAATCATAGAGCAAAAACAAAAATCAAAGTCATCTAAATTTTACAGCATGGCAAATTGTCAATATCAGTATTTCCTTTGAATAAAAACACTGGAGCTTCATTCAAAACATCGTGTTCGATAAGCGTAGAAGTTTGTTTCTTTAATTTCAATATAAAGGTTTATTTAGTGGTAATTAGTTTAGAAGTAATTAGTGGAATAAATTAGTGGTTTCAATTACACTTTTTACTTTTTAGTTTACGATCATTCACAATGTCTAAAAAACACAATTAAAATTAATAGAATATCCTAGCAACAGCTTGCGTTAGTTAGTTGTATCCAGGGGGGTGACAGTGAAATTGGAAACAGTCATTAGTGTCATTCCTGTCATTCTCCTCACGACAAGTATGGCCGCCTAGACAAGGACAGCATTGTTTTTGTCTAACTATTGTCTAACTTCACAGTTTAGAATTGACAGATTTCAGTTTCAGAGACAACTTCAGATTTGTTCTAGAACAAATTAGAAGATATTCGACGCCATTTTAATTCACTCCGTTTAGTTTTGTTTTGGAAGTTCAATTTAATATTTCGGCTGAAATTTATAATTATAAAGGTAATAAAGTATATAAAATATATATTACATGAAGAATCCTGGAGAAAATGACGTTTCTGCAGTAGTAGGTATGTCCCATGTATATGAAAAATGGGTAGTAAATAAACACTGTTTTTACATTTTTTAGATGCAAGAAAATGGTGTTATAATCTCTTTGATCGGCGATTTTTTTGAAAATGGAAACAATTTACAGCAAGGTAAGATCATTTTTAACTATAGCCAGCATTAGTTATCTCCAATATGTGCGATTTATTGTCAATAATGCAATAAATCGGACTGATAATCTGATTATGTTATCCGACTAAAAGTCTCTTTTTGCTTCTTTTTGATTTATAAGCCGGTCTCTTTGGGAATAATGGACGTTTTTTTTTAAACAGTATATTTATATTTTACACCTATTGATATTTTTACATTGTTAATTTTAGTATAAAAAAAAATGTTTTTCTGTTTTCAGGTTTTTGTATAAGGCTTCCTTTTTCATGTTCCTGTCCCTGATGGCTGTGAATACGTGTATTTATTTACAAATTACTGTAAGTCATGCTTATACCTTACTAATTTACGTTAAAATTGCATATAATTAAGTAATTGCTGTAGAAATCATTCAATTCTTTATTTTTTATATTTATTTAGTCACGTTGACTCATATTTCAAATAATAATTGTTTGTTTATTGGCAACAGCGAGAACACATAACATAAACGAAGAAAATTACAATGTTGAAGTAAGCGCAGGTGCGTACTGGAAACCGTTACCAGATACAAAAATATATGGGGCAACAATTCCGCTAACTTACCAAACAAGTTAGGATAAAGATAATATCTAGGAAGCGAAACGTTATGATGGCAAAGGATATTATTATCCACCCTAGCCACCCTCCCTGGAATTGCTGTAAATAAGTCAAATTTTACAGTTAAAATTAGATGTTGAAAGCGAAGAATAGAGGTACCCGAAAAAGGAAAACCGATTAAAGTAGAATTTAAGTTTAAATTTTCGTTCTAATTATCTAGTCAAAAGTCTGAACGTACACAAAATTTTTTTTTAGATTTCTTAATTTAATATATAATTCTTTTTTCAGTTTCTTAATTTAATATAAGGTAAAATCGAGTGATATATTTCTAATTTCTATATATAACATTAGCTGACACAGTAATTTTATGTGACAGAAGTATAAATAAAAAAAAATCGTAATTTCAAACGTATTTATAATAGGTATAATCTCAGTCTTTAAGTAAATGTATTTACTCGAAATCGTTATACGACAATTTTTAGCAAAAAAAAAATAATTTAGTAAATGAAACTAGTATAGGTAAATTCAAATGGTTCACGGTCAAGGTGCGAAACTTGATCACGACACGTCTCATGACATACTTTATGTGATAGTTTGCACTTTTTTTATTCTTTTCTTTTTATCTTTAATTATTTATAGTATTTGGAATCACTTTATAAAGTTAAAAAGACGAAATAGTAGGCGTTTAAAACATTTAAATAGATGTAATTTTTAAAATGAAAATATTTTTTTTAACTTTCTTGCGTGTCTAACTAATAGAATATTTCACACAAATTAGGTAGGAGTGTTCATAAATCCTACAAATTTGCAATGAAAATATAAGTTTATTGTTTGTTTTACGCCCAATCATATAAAAAATTTTATATTCTCTCTTGCCGTCAAGAACAAAAAAAAACAATGATATTCTGAACTAAGTTGAAAAATGAAATTAAACAAACAAACTTAAAATAGGATTAAGTTTGATATACTTTAAGAACTAGTTTATAAAACATAATAATTTAATACAATAAGCTGTAAGTAAGAGCACATATTTACTCTTTGTTCTCTTTTTTCATGTAATTACTGGTCAAAACTGCCAATACCAAGCAACAAGTCAAGGAACACCACTGAGAAGAATTGACGTATGAACTCAACCCTGAAGGAGAAAGAAGAATGTAGTACCACACCATCATGCCTATACGATGCAAACTGCCTACCCTTGTTTATGAAGCTTTGTGACCAGTACACCATGGTAATGCAGTCCGAAGCAAGTAGTCCAATTCAAAAATGGGTTCAGAACATGCTGTCAAATTTGGTCTGGCGATATAAGCAGCTACAGGAAGAGTTATTGTCTTGTTTAAAACTGCTCTCTTCTTCGAAAGATGAGTTAGACGCCAATCCAGATGACAAAACAAAATCATACTGGAATTTTGTTTCCATTGTCAGCCTACACCGATATCAAGAAACAACTCCCCTAAGGACGCAAGTATTGAGAAACAGCTTACCAAAACAAAGAGCTTTTCAAAGTGCAGGGAACGGGAGGCATGTGTGCATTCGTTAGGTTTAGGATGTGAAGGTGGATACTACAATCAAAACTTCAGTTTTCAGCCTCCGTGAGCAGCCGACGAGATTTGTGGGTGGGTGTTTTATGAACGAAGTCCAGTGCAAAGTATTGAAACTTAAAAACTATATAGGTATTGTGCAGTTCACGTTAGTGCCAGTATTAAAAAGACATTTTTTGTCTATATGTAAACGGCTTAATCGCCATCCTTAAACTTATAGAGAAGCTTTTTTTTATATTTTTTTAGTTAGTAATTTCTTTAAAAACATTTTTTTTAATTTTTTTTTAATATTGTATACTTAAAACATTTTTTATTATGAAACGTTAAGCACAATTTATTGCAATGTATAATAATTATTGTTAGAAAGTATAATTTCATAAATCTTGAATTATCGCTGGGGTCCAGCTTTAGAGGTGCGGGGGAAGTTCAAGGATGGAATTATTCGATATATAAAGTAACATATTTAATATTAATATATTTCGTAAATTAATAATTCGATTGAAAGGAAATATAAGATAAATAAAGTTCATTAGCATTTACGCAACAAAAGTAAAGTTTTAAAAATCAAAGTTATAAGCATAATTGGCAATTGCGAAAATATTTCCTTTCAATATTACAAATTTATAAAATCATCAAATCAGCACTAACGCGGTCATCGCACCGGTCATCGCACCGATAGACCAATAATGCTGATTCGATGATTCGACGTAACGAACCAATAAATACAAAAATGTCACCTGTTGGGGGAACAGTCGATAGTCGAGAATTGATGTTCGATAAGGTCGCGGTCGAGATTCGGGCATTGATGTTCCTGCCCCGATTTTCTGTCCCTGATGGCTGTGAATACGTGTATTTATTTACAAATTACTGTAAGTCATGCTTATACCTTACTAATTTACGTTAAAATTGCATATAATTAAGTAATTGCTGTAGAAATCATTCAATTCTTTATTTTTTATATTTATTTAGTCACGTTGACTCATATTTCAAATAAATATGTTTGAATTAAATTTTGTTTTCTTTTATTTATGATAAGAAAGAGTACAAAATACATTTAAACTAAAAGAGGGCCCGCCATTGAATAACCGGAAACGGAAATAAAAATAAAGCCATCATGTCAACCTGTCAACTGGAAAATTAGTTCTCCAGACGACAACGGAGGCTTTCGGTGGCGTATCGTGTTTCCACGATTTAACACAGAGTTGACACTTCTTTCTAGTTAATTATTTTATGGTTGTATCCATAGAGAAAGCCTAATATTTAGCTTATAAAACAATCAACTTTTGATTTCTAACCACAATTTCACTTGACGGAAAACAATCAAAGGCCAAAATGACATTTCTCCTAAGTTTCGAAGTTTATAAGTCGAAAAGTTTGATAACTTTTTTCTACTAATTGAAAATGTCTACCACTAATTTTGACGTTCTGAATGATTACATTGAAATTAACGGAACAAACTTCTACGCTAATTGAAACCACTAATTTATTCCACTAATTGTTAGGTTCTGAATAAAGCTTAAGCATTCAGAACGTTAAAATTGGTGGTAGTAATTTACACACAATTACTGGAAAAAGTTACCAGACTTTTAACTTTAACCACTAATTATAGCTCAAGATTCGATACCACTGACTACAGCAAGCGGTTGTTAGGGTATTCTACTAATTTTAATTGTATTTGTATAGACAAACTATAGGTTTTTTAATACAAAAAAACAATAGTAGGCAATTGCCTAATCACGTTTAAGCTGTACAGGAATCTGTCCAGACAAACATATCACTCACTAATATAAACGCCCTGTATAATAATACTCGGATATGATTTTTGGTGACACTAAAACTGTATGTGTGCGTGGTATCTACACTTATGGATTTTTCACTTTTTTAAATTCATTTTTATACACTATTATTCCCTATTCAAGCTACTTTGTCTAAACTATAGTAGTTGTATTAATTGTATCTTGGTATCCATCCTTGTCTCTCTATATTGTTTAATACAGTAATGAATATTATTTCTGATATACTCGTAAATTAGTTTTTATTTTCATTCGTCATATTTTTTATTCTTGTGCAGGTGCTCTAAATATCATCGTGATTGGAAAGTTTTTATATTTTTGTTTATTTATTTAATAATCTCCGTTTCTCGAACATAGGTTTATATATTTGTGGGATATAGTCCTGTGTATATCTTGTTAAATAGGAATATACAAATTGTAAATATTTAGAGCACAAATTTTTGGAAAATTGTCTTTGTCAATATCTTACTAGTATGATAACACAAGGTTTAAAAGTTAGGGTTTTTTTCGTCTTCTAAACTCATCCGCCCAGAAGAACGCTCTTCTCACTGCAACAAAAACAAGAATATAATTAGTTTCAGTAAATAATCAAGAAAAAAACTAAAAATTTAAACTAAATCTATTTAAAAAAAAATTGCTACTTTATTATCATTGCTTATAAAATAGTTACATAATATACGATAAAAAAATAGCGTCAAAAACGGCTGGGAAATGACATTGGAGGATAATTTTTGCGAGGTCAAGTCCTAGGCGTCATTACTTGACCCGTATTCTTCTCTATTTTATTTAATGGCGCTTACTGCCAGTTGATTTTAAAAATGATTGTAATTTCTTTTTATATTAAGTAAAAACAACCGTGACTCACGGCCTTGAATGATAGTCGTGACGGCCTTGAATGATAGCCGTGACGGCCTTGAATGATAGCCGTGACGGCCTTGACGCACGAGCTAGTGAGAGGGAGAGTGGTAACGGCAATGTTGACACAGCTACCCCGTTCGGGGTAGATCTACCCCTTTATAAAACAATTTAACCCCCGCTATTTCGTGATAGTCTACCTCGATGAAAAATAATCTGTGACAACCTTTGAATAAGAAGAAGGACAACATTTTTTTAATGAAGGAAAAATAATCTGTGACAACCTTTGAATAAGAAAGGTGACAACACTGGGTAAACAATTTGAACCATACGTGGCTAAGAAAATCACTATAATAAATTTGATACTGTATGTACCAACCTTGATGTGTACCAATATCCTCTGGTTGTTGCATGCATATATTCGGTCTACGTAAAGCATTTAGCTCATTTGCCAGCTCAGAATTTGAATTTGGAGATATTTGTTAACTCGAATTTTCATTGGAGGACACTGTCATATTTAATTCAAACCAATAATCGACGAGAATATTCGTATAAATTAATAAAATTACTGTAAATCACTACAAATAATTAATAATACACAAAACATTTATACAAAAACAGACTACACGAAACGAATTATTGGTTAGTAGTAGTTGCGTAGCTAGATATTCTGTGATAGTAATCAGAGATAAAGATGTAATATTTTGGTTTAATGGCCACAGCTGCAAGGGCAATCCGGAAGGGGATAGAATTATCGTTTTTTAATAAAAATTAAAAAAAAACAATATAAAATTTTATAGCTAGAATTAGGGAATGCAATCCAGCACCAAAATCTCAATCCCGCAAACCCGCGGGATTAAAGCAATCAATCCCGCGGATTGATTGCTTTATGGCAAAATTGCGGGATTGTAAACAATAAATGCTCTTCTTTTCTCTCTTTGATTTTGGGATGCGGTTTGGACCAGGTTTTAGACGCATCTATTGTGATTAAGATGCTATGTGGTTTTCGAAAATATATTTAGCGAATTCTCGTATACAGGGTGTTTTATAATAGTGTACAAATTTGGTTAAGTATTTTTTTTACCGAAAATTTACAATTTTTGAAAAATCGAAATTTTAACTATGTACGACTAATCTGTATTGGAATTAGAAAAAACAATTTGGTATTTTTTTTTAAATTTTTTGTTTTATGATAAATACGAGTTTTTTTTTTCGAAAAATATGCATTCATAGTCCTAAATAATACATTTGGTCCTAAATGGTACAAAAGGCATTGTACATACATTTTGCATAGGCCCACAATATACTGATATAGCGTGTATCTTCTATCTGTACAGAAATTTGGACCGATGTATACGAATTTATCTACTTATTTTATAAATAAAAATATTATTCTGATGTTGAAGATTTTTTTCAACTTATGTTAGTTATCTGCTTTTAGATACACTCTATATTAATAATTTTTTGGCATATGCAGAATGTATAAAGCTTTTTGTACCATTTAGGACCATCGTATGACTAAAAATGCATATTTTTCGAAAAAACATCGTATTTTCCTTAAAACAAAAAAAAATAAAAACCCGATCAAATTGTTTTTTCTAATTTCAATACAGATTAGTCGTACTTGGTAAAATTTTTTTTTAAAAATTGTAAATTTGCGGTAAAAAAGATTCTTGACCAAATTTTCACTCATATAAAACACCCTGTATACGAGAATTAGCTAAATATATTTTCGAAAACCACATAGTATCTTAATCACAATAGATGCATCTAAAACCTGGTCCAAACCGTATCCCAAAATCTTTTTTAGTTTAAGAGATATTCAACTTTAAATTTACCCTAAAATTTTGCTTGTCCCGATAATTATGTCCGGCAGTTTATTTGACGAAATTGTCGACATGTACTAGTTAAACGCTTTTCTTCACTTACGCACGCCAGAAAGAAATCTAACAACTAACCTGTTTGTTTCACTTATTTTTAATGGCCAAGCCGTAAGGGAAATCCGCTGGTGTCGATCCCGCAGATCCCGCGCGGTAAATCCCGCGCGTTTTCCCCCGTTTTATCTATTATTTTGTAAATAACGTCTAGAGATTAACCTTGTTAAAATTATCATCGATTGTCATTTCCCAGCCGTTTATGGCACCCGTTTTTTTTATCATACGGTGGCATCAGAGCTGCAAGCTCACAGAAAACTTAAGTCTATTTTTGATTTAAATCATTTTAATAACTTAACTCATTTGATTTTAAGTCATTTTTCAAAAGCTGACTTAAGACTTAAAATTTAAGTCTTTTTCAAAATGACTTGTGATTTAAATCTTTATTCAGAAATAGAAAAAGATTTAAGACTTTTTAGAAAAAAAACTTAAATCCTTAAGAAGATTTAAGTCTTTTTATAGAAGACATAAGTAATTAAAAAGATTTAAGTCTTTTTATAAAAGGCTTAAATCAGATTTTTATATATTTTTATGATTAATTTTTAACCGTAGTATTCCTTTGTCAGCTGTTAGGCAGCAGCTAAGCAGCAGAATAAAAAACAATGCTCAATACCACTAGCAAATAGAACGTTAGTGATTCGGAACCGATTTTGATTATCTGTCGTGTTACGCGTGCGTTGTGAGTCTGCCGTCTTTCAAGTGAATCTCCGACTTCGTTATACAGGGTGAGTTTCCTACGATGTTCTCTATGGGCATCTCGGAAACTACTGGAGATAGTGAGTCGGTTAAATGGGGAAAGAATTGCAGTTTTGTGGGGTCATAAATATGCGCGTTTCAGATTTTTGAAAAAGTTCATGGCTTACTAGATATTTCGAAAAAAAAACAAATTTTGGCTATTTCAAAAATTGTTCCTAATTCCATTATAATCTATTTTAGACAAAAAGTTTTCAGATAAAAGTTGTAGATAATCACATTCCTAATCAGTTTGTGTTCTCCGATTTTTTCTAAAGCCTGTCATTTTTGACATATGACACCAACATATGTTTTTTTAAATGGAAACCATAGTTGGCCATGACTCCATAAAAAGCGCCATTTTTTAAGCTTTTCAGCGATATAAACTATAATATGTTTCTTTCACAAAGTCACAGACTTATAGCCAATTCTGATTTTTCCTGACTAATTTCACTTAGTTAGCCATGGAAACAAGTTCCATCGTCGTTGCTCTCAGAAATGTGAAATTGTCACATCCAATCTTTGTAAATTAAATTAAACAAAAATTGTGTAATAAACTTTTTTTAAAATGAAGAAAAGCGTGTAGGATTATATATTGGTTCAACTTTTCTTGACCATACAGTATACGTTGACCAGTGAAAGTTACTTACGTTTTTTAGAAAACGGTTTTCAATGGTGTTCTAATTTTTTTATAATTTACAACTTATAAAAAGACAAAATATATTATTAAACGGCTCTTTACAATTTACATTACACAAACTAAAACTTAAAAAATAATATCACTACATACCTACTACATATCACTACAATACTTTAAGTTATTTTAGAAAATGGTAAAAAAATCCGCAATCGTTTTGAGTACATAAACACAAACATCAATGCATCTTTTTAAAACTGAATTTCTAGCTATTGTTACAGAACGACCGGTCGACTTAATTAAACTTCTCCTGTTCCGCCTCTTCGAGTGCCTCTCTTAATTCATAAGTTCTTTTGTAAACCTTGTTGTTAACCATACCGCATAAAAAAAAAATCTAAAATGGATAGGTCAGGTGACCGAGGAGACCCATGCAATTGGTCTAGCTCTTTCTATCCCTGAGTACATAATTATGATATAAATAATTTTTAACATTGCTTACATTGTGGGGGGGGTTTGGTGTGTCATAATGAAAGACATGTTGGAACCACTCTATTAATGCGCGAGTATCTAAATTTAACTTTTCTAACATGTCTTGAAAACCGTTCTCTAAAAAACGTAAGTAACGTTCACCGGTCAACGTATCCTCGAAACTGTATGGCCCAGAAAAGTTGAACCAATAGTCCTACACGCTTTTCTTCATTTGAAAAACTCTTATTTACAATTTTTCTTTATTTTAATTTACAAGATTAGATGTGACAATTTCACATTTCTGAGAGCAACGACGATTGAACTTGTGTCCATGGCTAACTAAGTGAAATTAGTCAAGAAATATAAGAATTGGCTATAACTCAGTAATTTTGCGAAAGAAACATATTATAGCTTATATCGCTGAAAAGCTTCAAAAATGGCGCTTTTTATGAAGTCATGGCCAACTATGGTTTCCATTTAAAAAAAAAACATATGTTTGTGTCATATGTCAAAAATGACAGGCTTTAGAAGAAATCGAAGAACACGATATCATTAAGGATGTGATTATCTACAACTTTTATCTGAAAACTTTTCGTCTAAAATAGATTATAATGAAATTGGGGACAATTTTTAAAATAGCTAAAATTTGTTTTTTTCGAAATATCTAGTAAGCCATGAACTTCTTCGAAAATCTGAAAGGCGCATATTTATGACCCCATAAAACTGCAATTCTTTCTCCATTTAACTGACTCTCTATCTCCAGTAGTTTCCGAGATACCCATAGAGAAACACCCCAGGAAACTCACCCTGTATAGGCCGAAAGACGAACGAAAGGAATTTATCTCCAATATATTGAAGAGTACTTTAAAATTCTCCAGCCCTTAGCTCTAAGCCTTAGCTTATGCCATCGATATATTACAGAGTGATCAAGACACATCACCCCTTTCCAATAAATATGTATTCGATGACATCTAAACTCTAATGGTAATAGGTTCTACAAAATTGGTTAAATTTTATAAAAAAATATATATTTTTGCGTGTGTAGTTGTTCTGAAAATAAACCGTTTTATTTTATGGGGTTTTTATCATCTGAACCAACAATAAATTAATAGTATGATATTAGCAAGAAAATCGCCTAAGAGGTAGTAGGTACAAGAAGGTACAAGAAGTAGGTACAAGAAAATTAATATTAACATTTAAAAAAATGTACATAAATTGAATTCTGGTTGTGTTGACTTGGGAGGGTAAGTATATTGGTTTAAGTCATTTTACTGACTTAAACTAATATAACACTTGCAGATAATCATGATTTAAGTAATAAAAACCAAACCAAACCTAAATAAAGTTATATTGATTTAAGTCTTTACAAAAATGACTTGACTTGAAATAAAATGATTTAAGTCAAAGACTTGAGACTTAGATCATTTGAAGCTTTATGTTGAATTTGACTTAAGACTTAAATCATTTTGATTTTAGTTAATTAGACTTATTTTACTTAAGATTTAAGAGTTAAGTATTTTTAAAACTGACTTGTTGCAGCTCTGGGTGGTATTTCTCTACTTGATAAAACAATACTAAGATAATATCAGGCGATTTCAGGCCTATGTACATACATGTTACTATGCTAATAATAAATACTATATAACAAATTACCCCTGGTATAGTCATGTGGGACAGGTACAATTTAAAATTCACCTTAAGACCGAAAAAAAAACGGCGTCAAGTTACCTGCAAACGCCGAAAATTCTAAGGCAACTTGACGTCGTATTTTTTTTGGATCATACGGTAATTTTTGATAATTAAATCATTGAAATTAAATACGCAAAAGCGACTGACTGTTCCTAATAGACATGATGAAAATGAAGGAAAGGCAATTGAAAATGAGTTACTAAATATGAACGTTACCTTTCTTTAACTTCAATGATTCCTTCAATTATATATCATTTGGGTGTGCCTTACCTCTGAAAGTAATGGAGAAAAATAGATTGGCTTTATCTTTTTTACATTTTTTGACATAAATAACGATTGTTCTTATTGTGTTTAATGATGAGCAAAACTAAGACCAAGTGCAAGACTAAGACCTTACTTGATTTAAGTAAGAATAATCTTCGGATTGTCACAGAGTTTTTAAAAGGACACCACAATGAACACCTCAGTAGATTGAAGCGAAAAAAAATGACGATTGCAGATTCTGTGGGGAAAATGTCATAAACGTGCTATAAACTTTGGTACGACTGATATCTAATATCGGAGATGGAGAACTAACCTCTGTAAAATCGTCTCAAACTCAGAAGGGTCTCAGAGAGTGGCTTTTGTTAAAGCCCTAAGGTTGTATGATGAGTTATAACTCAAGAAAGGGGGACACAATAGATCTGTAAGGTCGAGTTGATTAACTCTCCCCCATACATTCTGCAAGACTCTCTTGGTCTTGGTTTTACGGGACCCAGTCTTGGTCCTGGAACCAGTCTCACTCATCACTAATCATGTTACAGAATTTAATATTGAATGAAAGTTCATATTAAATATATTCTTGAGAATTAAAAGAAATAATATATATGATATCAATTAAACTTTTAGTTACGTTATCGAGGGCGCTATTTTTAAATTAATTGTTGACATATTCGGCGCCCAGCTGACTAACTGGAATTTAAATTTCGCGCGTTTTTTTTGGGGGGGGATTCATGTGGTAGCTCTGCGGTAAAAAATGTCTAGATGCCGCATTTATTTATTTATTTCCTGACATTGTCAGTCGTTTTGACACTTTATTTGTTTTTTGTTTACTAGCAGACTTTGCAGTCGAACATTGTTCTTTTTATAACCTCTTTTTGTGTACAAGATAAATTAATAGCAGTAAAAAACTCATCGTAACTTTATTAACATAGAAAAAAAGGGAAAGCGGTAGTAATATGTTTCTTTATGTCCCTTAAGAGCTGTTAAGACGGTGAATTTTGTTGATGTAAATACTAACTGTTTATATATTTATAATTAAATTATTTTTGTTTCCTAATATATTTTGATTAAAAGAAAATAAATAATAGTGGGCAACGCTGTACCGGTCCAAGAACACGGTAAACTAATAGGATTGCTCATCCTCATAAGACGTACGTTCGCCTATTCCCGCGCTACAGCTGACAGTTGTGACGTCATTGTAGTCCTTGTCAAAGCCTTGTCATGATAGTGTGTATTATTAGTTGCCTATGGCAAACTTATAAAAATAACAGCTGAGAAATTTTGAGTTAATTATTTTGTCAATTTTAAATGTGAAAAAGGTGTCTTTGAAGTTTTTAGAGCTATAGAGTGTCTAAATACGTTCATTTTGTGTTGTAGATTGTGACAAAGTGCTTACTAAGTGCCCACTATATTGTTTATTAATTATTTTAAAGCAAAATATGGAAGTATTCTAAAAAGAATGCTTGCAAAAGGTGATGCTGGGAACCGCTGTTCTTAAAAATGCATTATCCCAAGAACAGTTAACCTAATAGGACTGCTCATTCAGCCAAAAGTGTCCGCCAGGTGCATGCGAAAACTACTCGCTTTGTGACGTCATTGTAGCCCTTGTCATGGTTATTAGTCCTTATCCGGCAACCAATAATACACACACGTGCATTATTGGTTACCGAATGCAAAACGTTCATTATTTAGTTTATTTATTTAAACACCTTATATGTATGCAGTATAGAAAATTAACTGTATAAATCGTATTAAATACTCGGATAATGCATTTTTAAGAACAGCAGTTCCCAGCATCATCTTTTGCAAGCATTCTTTTTAGAGTATTTCCATATTTTGCTTTAAAATAATAAACAAAATCATTTATACACTCTATAGCTCTAGAAACTTTAAAGACACCTTTTTCACATTTAAAATTGACAAAATAATTAACTCAAAATTTCTCAGCTGTTATTTTTATAAGTTTACCATAGGCAACTAATAATACACACTATCATGACAAGGCCACGAAGGCTTTGACAACATATACATATAACTTTATATACTCGGATAAGGACTAAATAACCATGACAAGATGATGACAAGGACTACAATGACGTCACAAAGCGAGTAGTTTTCGCATGCACCTGGCGGACACTTTTGGCTAAATGAGCAGTCCTATTAGGTTAACTGTTCTTGGTGCCGGTCAAGCTTAATCACGTGACTAAAAGTTTATTTGGTATGAACCGTATAATCTACATTGTTAATGAGTTAAAACGAAAAAAATCAGGAGGTTTGTAATTTCAGCAAATATTTTTTTAGGATAAATTTCGAGAAATTTCTGTTTTTTTTCGGACATATTTTCATTTCCGCCCTATACGTAGAATAAATGCAGAAAAAATCATGTACTAACCAGCGACGTGGTGCCAAATAATTTGTACCATCCGATAACAATGTTGCTCAGGTTGAGGTCGTCTAGCATAATTTGTGCCACGCCCATAAACACTTTTTTGCCTTCTATTCTACCATAATCGCCCCACACTGTTACCTAGAATGTCAAAAATCAAAATTTTATCGTTAGTAGATAATGGTGAAATTATTATATACCATGTGTTTAAAAGTAACTCAACACTACAACTTTTTATTTTTTTTTCAGATAAAATACCGAAATTTGGTTTCAGATAAAATAGCGAAAAATTGTTAGTAGGACATAAACCAGGAATGATTGACGTATTCAATTAGTTTATTTCCTTTCCTGTTTTACCGGAAATTACTACAACTTTTGATTTTTAAATGGTACCCTCGGTGTTCTTTTACTTTTTTTGGATGAAAATTACATTCTGAATAACATAATCAGACATAATCATATAGTCCACTTTTGACATTTTTGTTTAATAAAATAGCATTTTAAATTTCAATCTAGAGTACCAAGGTTGTGTTAAACCTACTAACTTTTAATCAGTGAACCTTAGAAAATGTTTTTTGTGACTTTTCCTGGCCTGAAAAGAGGCCTAAATCGTATTTTTAATAATAACTCTATTTTTTCAAATGGAACGAGGGTGGCTCATTAGCATATTTGGAATAAGCATTTTTATACGAATAATTTGGTACCCAATACTTGGTATTTCGAATAAAATTGTTGTTATAAACACAACATTAAAGTACCATTTTTAAGCGAAAATGTCAAAAGTTGAAATATGAAATGTCATTCGCTTCAGAATACCTATAATTTTCTATCGAATAAAGTAAAAAAATACCGACGGTACAATTTAAAAATCAAAACTGGTAGTCATTTCCGGTGAGACAGGAAGTGACCAAAAACAATTCAATACCTCAATCAATCCTGATTTATGTCATATACTAACATGCCAAAATCTCGTTTTTTTGGCCGAAAAAAATAGAAAACTTATAGAGGTGAGCCACTTTTGAAAACCACCCTGTATACTATGACTTGGATTAGAATTTTTGATGATAAAGAAGAGAACAAAAATATGACTTTACCTGTAGTATGCAATTCGTAAAATTTTCTTTAAACGCCAACTGTTGCTGATAGAGCGGATCTAACGTTCTTCGTGCTGTAGTTGTTTTGGCTTTTGCTAAACATTTCTTTCCGTTGACCAGATATACTTTGACATACGGTGCTGAAAATTAAAAATAATAACATTAATTTCCATAACCCAGCTTTAGCCCACGGCCACACAGAAAGCGTTTTTAGCGTTTTGCGTTTTTTGCATCTCAAGCTTTTTGCGATTTTACCGTTTTAAGCGCTTTTTTCGATTTGTGTTCATTAAAAACACGCAATAGACGCGGCAGGTCTGCAGTTTCTACCAAGATGTCAATTAGTAACGTCGCAAGCTCGTGGATTCGGCGAGAGAAGATTGGAGATCGGCGCCATTAACGTTGAAGAGACGAAGATAAAGATGCTGGGATTGAATTCCGGACGGGCCGGAGCATATATTCGGAGACAAACACAATCTACTGCTAGTGCCAGTGGTGTGTGTAAAAATAATAATTATTATTATCTGCCATTTATTTTGCGAATTTTAGTTTATATGTGTATAGTTTTTTTATGTTGTAGTGTTTTGGTTAGTACTTGTTATAATTATAATATAATATAATAAATAATTATAATTCTATAATAGTATAGTAAATATTTCTAGTTGCTAATGCAATTTTAGGACATGATTTATGAAACATTTTGGAGTGAAACTTCTTTACGCGCGCTGGGAGTAAAAATTCAAGGCCGTGACATACGAGCTAGTGAGACGGCCCTGACACACGAGCTCGTTATAACGAAACGTGTTAACGGCTTAGAAGTACATAGTGACGCCACGTGTATTTGTGAGCAGTCCACGTGTTTATCAAAAATATTGATATATTAATACAAATTTTGTAAAAATAATCAAATTATTACGTGTAAAAAACATTTGTTACACGTATAAAACTATTTGTTACTGGTAGAAAACTATTTTTTACGCGTATAAAACTATTTGTTACTGGTAGAAAACTTTTTGTTACGTGTAAAAATCTATTTGCTACGCGTAAAAAACTATTTTTTTACGCGTCAAAAACTTATTGTTTCTGGTAGAAACCCTTTCTTACGCAAAAGAAAATATTTTTTACGTGTAAAAAACTATTTGTTACACGTAAAAAACTAATTTTTACGCGTCAAAAACTTATTGTTTCTGGTAAAAAAAACTTTTTTACTCAAAAAAATATTTTTCACGTGTAAAAAACTATTCGTTACACGTTAAAAAACCTTTTGTTACGTAAAAAAAAATATTTTTTTACGTGTAAAGAACTATTTGTTCCACGTAAAAAACTAATTTTTATGCGTCAAAAACTTATTGTTTCTAGTAAAAAACTCTTTTACCCAAAAAAAATATCTTTTACGTGTAAAAAAACTATTTGTTACAAGTAAAAGACTATTTTTTACGCGTCAAAAACTATTTGTTTCTGTTAAAAAAAACTTTTTTTACGCGTAAGAAAATATTCCTTTAATTCATTACTTTTTCAACATTTCAAACTACACTTTTTCAAACATTTCCTTCAAATTTTTGAATTAGCAGAATCGTTTTAAACAGTACCTAGATGTTCTTTATAAAAATTTTTTTAGATAATACCCTATAGTAAAAAAAATGCATACTATTTAATTTATTTTTATTGTATTATTAACTATAACGTCTGCCGGGGTATTGTATTATTAACTATAACGTATGACGGGGTCTCATCTTAGAAAACGCTAAAGACGCTACAGAAAACAAACTGATTTGTTTTCATTTGGGTTTTTTGAGAGACGCGCCGAACGCTACACGCTTTTGGCCTGGCCACTCCTATATAATCCTGTTATTTTGTTTTAGTCGCTAAAGACGCTTCAGGCTAAAAACGCAAAAAACGCTTCCTGTGTGGCCGTTGGCTTTAGTTTATTCACAACAACTAAAAAGGAGTTGTGTAATGTAGAAAATGCAAGTAAAAATAGTCGTCAAATTCGCAGAGTTAAAAATAAGTTCTGAGAAACTTTTTCGAGTGCCTTAGACCGTTGGAGGATTCCCATTCCAGGTTACGGACGAAGTCTTCCAAGTTCTTTAGTACCGCTTTAAGTTGGTTTCCACTTGGCAAGCAGAACGGTTCTGGTCCAGTTGATGGAGTGTTCGCTCCTTTTCTAGCTAGATCGTTTGATTTTTCATTGTCTTCTATCCCTTGGTGGGCCCAGAGTAGGAGAACTACCCAGAGCAGGAGAACTTATTTTCTTTGCCTAATTTTTTCAGCTTCTCTAGGCAATCTTTGAGGAACTTCGAATTGTCAGTGTAAAAGCCTGATGCTTTGTATTAAGCAATTATAAGAAACTGACAAAGAGCTATATGGAACAGGTTTCAGTTTTCAAGTTATTAGATTTTTGGAAAATTATTTTAATCTAGAGACAAGAAGAGGGCTACAATATATCTGTAAATATCGCAGTGGAATACACCAATACTTAACCAAATGAAATATAACCTAATCTATCTAATCGAACATCTCAAATTCAATTTACCTGGTAATACTTTCGATCCGGGCCTAGCTTGTAGACCTCTGGCTCGTATCACCTCCACCTCCAAGAATCCCTTCTGGTAGCAAAGCGACAGCTGGATGTCTCCCAGAGAAGGCGCTCCAAGGACTTGTCGACCGACTAACTGGCCTGGACCCAAACCTTCGATGAATTCGGCCAACTGGCCTTCACCAGTTAGCCTTAGAGAGGGTGACCACCTAAAGAAATTGTTTAGTAAAATTATTAAGTATTACATTAGTATTTTTTGGAAGGGTTTATAGGATTTTGTAATGTGGGAGCTGTATTTTAAAAGATCCATATTATTTCTGGAAAAGGGTTGGGTACTTAAAGTTACTGAAACAGAGAGTTACAGTAAACAAAAATTGGTATTATATGGAGCGATAAAGAATGATATTGAAATAATTGGTTTGGAATACTGATTATTACTGATTTTTCTCGTTTGTAATTAAAATAAAATAATAAAACGCCTAGTAATGTATTGTAAACTAGTTTTTATAAAATGTTTGTTAGAAGATCTACATCATCAGATCTACATAGTTTAAGTTACCATATTCCTCCGAAACGGCTAGACCGATTTTGATGAAATTTTATATGTAGGTACACTCAAATGCAAAAAAACGCAACGGAGAAATTTTTGGTCAAATTTTTAAAGTTTTATATTTTTGTTATTTTTATCTTCCTTTTCATGAATGTTTTAGCAAGCTATATATAATTATATCAACTTTAGTTCTTTAACTCAGCTTCTTATAAACTTTAGTATTTGGCATATTATACAGGGTTAATCAAAGGGTGTTTTTTTACCCTAACTTTAAAAGACCCTGTGCAATAATTTCATCTGTAAGATTTCCCAAAATATGATTTTGCGGTGAGAACCATGACTCCTAGGCATTTTGTTTTTTGATTCACGTCAGTATATGCTTTGATTAGTTTTTAAGAGCGAAATGAACTGATGACGATCAATTTGCATTTTTTTAATTATCATTAGTTTTTAATATATTTTTGTTATTTAAAAAAACATTAAAGATTAACGATATAGTCCGGATTTTAATAAACATTAATAACGATAACAGAACTAACGATGTTAAAGAAAACATTTGTAATAGTCAAGTATACAAACAGAAAAAAAATTGTAAAAAACACTCGAATACTTTGTATTGCCGCCCTTGGCTACTATAACTGCCTGTATTCGACCGTTCCTACTGTCATTGAGGCCGCATATATCATATTGCGTTATGTTTTCTCATTCTTCTTGAAGGACTATGAAGTTCATTTAATGAAGCTGGCACTGCTTCGCGGCCTCTAACCCTCCTGCCAAGCATTTGCCAAACGTCGAACACGATGGGCAGTTCATAGTAGTATATAGTTCCCAATAATCTCCAAAGCCACATTTGTCACATTAAAAAATAATTTCAAAAGAGAAAGATCGTTGGTGGCAAGCTGATTTCGCTCTTAAAAATTTACCATGGCATGTATTGACATGATCCAAAAAACAAAATGATCAGAAGACATGGCCCTGAGCGTAAAATTTTATTTTAGGCAAATTTACATACGAAATTATTGCACAGAGTGTTTTAAAGTTAGGGTAAAAAAACAAACCCTCGTTTAACCCTGTATAATATGCCAAATACTAAAGTTTATAAAAAACTGAGTTTTCGAATTAAAAGGTGGCATAATTATATACAGTTTGCTAAAAAAATTATGAAAATAGGTCTAAAAATAACAAAAATATAAAACTTGGTTGAGTGTATATTCAGTATGTCGAGAAGAGGTTGTTACCTATTTTTTATAACCCTACCCAAGCAGCATTTGGACGTCGGGACAACGTTGTGTCACGCGACCAAACGTCGGGGCGCAACGTCGGCACAACCTCGTGCCAACCCTAGTTTGCACTAGTTTGGAGAATAATTTTTGGGTTGAAACGACGTTGGATACCTACGTTGGCTAGCAGCCTAATTTAGTACAAACTGCAACGTTGCTTAAAATCCTAATTGACAGAAATACAAAACTATAATAATATGGCGTCTAAGTCGCGTTTTATCCTAAATTGGGATAATTATAGTAAAAATATTATTTTTATGATTTAGTTAGAGACATATGCCGGATGGCAGTAAAGGAAAACAAAACAAAAGTATTTAAGTGTGGAGGATGTTTGAAGATCATAACTATTGAAACACTTTAACCAACTCTGTAACTCGTTATCCAAGACAAAAAAGTTAAACGCAAACAACTTTATTGATAAATGTATTGTTTCTACTTTGAAAAATACTAATGGGCCTTAAAATAAAAAAAGGTTTAAAAAATTTCTTGAATTTTTTTTTTTAGTAAAATGAGAATAATTTATTCGCAGTCGAAAAAATTGTTTCCGGGTGTTGTTTAGCGTCAAATATTTCAAGTTAATGTATTCAAAAAGCAGGAATTGCTATTTTAGGAACGAAACATTTTCTTATTCAACAACAGGGCGGCTTTCACTTTGTTGTTTTGGAGATTAAGATGGAGTAATTCGAGTAGTCGCATACTGGACTAATAAAGTCGCAGTTCAGCCTTAACAGGTAGTATACTAGTCGCAAGATTGCCTAATTTAGTCATCCTAGAGTCTAGCTTGTGCCGCCCCCTATAGGTATTCTAAATAAACGAGGGAGTGGATAAAGTATGGGTAATATGTCGATGTATATTTAAATTTAGTTTTATATGTGCCTTTCTTACATCCCATTTTAATTAAGTTTTTTTATAAAAACAAAAACAGCACTGAACTGTCTGACTCAACAGAACAATAAAGTGAAAATTTAAGATTTAAGGTTATGGTTCAATACAGTTGCAAAAAGGTAGTGGCTCGACGTCCTACCAACGTAAGAATAAGGAAATTTAAACAACGTTGGAATTAGTAAAACAGACGACGTATGTATAACGTTGGAATAGGTCCTGAAACTGACGTCGGAAAACTCTTTATGGCCCAACATTGTAACTACGTTGTCCGAATCACCTAAAGATCACTTAAGCAAAAAAGGTTACAAGACAACGTTTATTCGACGTCGCAGAAGCTTTTACTTTGTTGTAGTACTAGTTCAACGCGGGCACAACATTACAGCAACGAAAATTAACAAATTACAAGGTACGCTGCTAACTATTTTTTGTAACTAATCCAATGTTGTGTTTAGTAAACATGTGGTCGCAAGTCGTGAAAATGCTACTTGGGTAAGTGATAAGGGTGGTCCACCCCAATTTTTTTGTATGTTTATTTTTATTTATTTTTACGATGTGGCAAAAATACACACAACCCTAAATTCTCACCCTTCTACCATCAACCCCTACTTTTTAATAGCGATATTAGCAATTCAATAATTTTCAACCTCCTGAATGAAAATAGCTGTTGTCCCATAGAAAATATTTATATGGTAAAACAACGTTTTCCGGATCAAAAAAAATGTTGAAAATCGTGCATTTTCTTAATTTTCATGTATATTTTAGAAAACTTTTTAGAATTGTCTGTTCATCGGAAATTTTGCCACTGTATAATTTGTTAATCTCTGATATTACTATGGTTACGTCACTGAAAGGGATGCGAATACAGAAAAAAACCGGTGGCTCTTAACATTTTTTAACAACAAAACATAACGAATTTAATTTTTTTTTCATTTAGAACTTGATAACTTGTTTATTTTTGACGTATTTGAAAAATGGTAAAGAGAAAATGTGTTTCTTTTATCGGGATCTAACAACGCTGAAAATATTTGCACTTATTTAAGACTCACCCTGTATAAAACATAGTTTATCTCTCCATAATTTTTTTCTGATTCCAGTAACTAAATACTATACCGTTACTCGTGAAATAAACCCGCCACATACGTATATACATTATTTAAGAGAATTTAGATTTCACACACTATAGATAGAGATAGATCTATGAAGAATATCATATCAAAGTAGAAAATTCATGAAAGAATCTAGAAGGGCTACCCATATTACAAAATAGTAAAAAATGAATGACATTATAAGAATAGGTGGAGTAAGTCTTTTTTTCTCAGAGCAAACACATAGAAACGTACATAGAGAGAAAGAAATCCGGGCCAAGAACTCTAGTCTACTAATTGTGAGTTATTAAAATTAAAATATAAAATTGTGATAGAGGGTGTATCAAACCGTGCCTTAATACGGTGCTGTAATCGCTAAAAATACTGTACATGCACAATAAGAGCGATTTTAGCCAAACTACTGCTGCTATATAATAACTAAATACATGTTAATCATCAAAGTTGTTCCCTCCCCCCCCCCCTAAGTAACTAATAACTGAGATATCAAAAATGTGTCATGCGTAAATAGTAATAATACATACCAGAATATGAAGATGATGGATATATACCATTAAGTTTTGATTTTGCTAAGCTGTGGCAGTTATGTCAGAGAAGGTTCTCGTTAATGTGTGTTCATGCCACATTAAGTACTATATTTTTTGATGTCAGGATTTATTTTTTATATTCTATCATAATTTTTAGTTAAAAATCATATTGTAACTGTTTTGGACTTAAAAATCCGTAAAAAGAAAATGTATGTTTCTTTTATCGAGATATACCAGATCTAAAAATATGTGCACTAGTTGTGAGGCTCACCCTGTATTTATTTTTAGTATCTACTTGACAAGAGAAAGCACTAGATTTACCTAAAAATAAAATGTTCTCACCCTCAACAAACATTTAAGTATTATGAGTAATCCTGAAATCAAAAAAATAGCTCAAAATGAAAAGAAAAAAGTAAAACACATTATCGAAAAAGAAAAAAAAGTAGAAATAATATACAAAAGAAAAATTTATACTGGGTGGTGCATCGTTAACGCAAACATAGGAAATCCCATGCAAATTCTGAACTGTCCGAATATTGGCTCCCTTGTTAATTTTACAGCAAAGTCATAAATAGACTTTTTTAAAGTTCTGCTGATACTGAATACACGTTCCCAATTTGAACAATTTTAGACAAGCCGAAAAAACTGCACCCATTTTTAAATTAAAACTGTACAACAGGTAACAATAATGCGAAACCAGGCAAATGTCAACATACCTTAAGTTGTTAACCTATGATTTTATCATTGTCAAATGTAATTTGACACTTACTTACGCCTAGTATCCCTAAAATGTATTTTTGTAATTTAAAACTGATTCGAATAAGGCAAAAGCCTAACGGTTAGTAAATGCAGTTTGGCATTGACAAAATTATAGGATGACAACCACAAAACATCCCCCTTTAGAACTTCATCTGTCATATTAAGAAATGAAAGTAAATAATAAAGCGCCTCTCGTGTTTGTTCGCATACTAAAAATTTCAATTAATGCCTGTATCTATTTTTAATATATTTTTTATATTTACATTTTTTTAAAAAATAATATATTACATTTAAATGGAATATATTACATTATATTACACAATTATATTTATATTACATTGCACAATTATGTCAAATACAGGATTACAGGCTTGTTTTCTAACATTTTTTAACTAAAACGAATTCTAAAATTTCAACATATGTATATTTGTCGTAGGTATGAAAAAAGTAAAATATAACATGAACCAAACGCTTACTTACATTGCAATAAAACTTCAAATTTTAGTTTTGCAATCCAAACGCAATATTTCTATTTCGCAAATAAAAATATTCGACAACACTAAAATCACTGAAACTTCTGCGGCTGACACCGAAAACTGAATACAACTGTACTTTTTGTTTTGGACCTGCATATCAACATTACGCTGTACCATTATGTTTTTATTTTTGAAATAATATAAAATATATAATTATAACTTCTGAATTTTAATATTTTAACAAAACTAACTATTTCTGACAATAGCTAAGTTTTTGTTATCAAGATGACATTTTAAACAGCAACTGACATATATGTCATAATATTTTAATTTTAAATATGTATGTAATATAATTGAAATTAATATAATGCAACCTTATACTAAGAAAACATTTATACATTCACAAAATACAACATAGTCTAATAATGTAGTTTGAAAACAATGAAAATTAAATTAAAATTAAAAAAGTTAAGCGCGACCCCGTGTGTCAAAATTAGATGATTAAATCGCAATTTTTACACCATTTGATGACCAGTGGCGCCTCTAGTGCTTGTTCGGACGGTTAGTCTTTTACTCCCGTTTATTGCCATTAAAGAAAAAGTTCTAAAGGGGGAATGTTTTGTGATGACAGCTTGCGTAGGTTGGCATTTGTCTGGTTTTGCATTGTTACCTGTTCAGTTTCAATTTAGAAATAGATGTAATTTTTCTTAAATTACTTAAAAGCAGCTTATTGAAAATTTTTCAAATTTGAAACATGTAGTCAGTATTAATACTTTAAAACCCCTATTACCGACTTCGCTGTAAAATAACCAAAGACAGTTCAAAATTTGCAATTTTCTGTGTTTTCAACGACGATGCAGCACCTGGTAGATGCGAAGAGATATAGAGAGATGCAACACTGCAGCCAAGGGCACACTGATTGGGCACATCACACCACGCCACGCCAAACCCAAACTACTTACGATGATCCCTCCGAGCTGGATATGGAATTGAGGCTCGAGGCTCGCTGGCTGCTCTCGCCGGACCGAGAGGGTACAGCCGGCGGTACCACCTCCTGGGACCTCTGGAAGGCCAGAGCTGCGCTGGACGACGTGCGCTTTTTACCGGTGTCTGCGCCAGAAATCAGTAAAACGTAAGTCCGTGATTGCGTACATGGATTCGGTTCAGACTCCAACGAGCATTACCAGAGATATAGAGGTAATGAGAACATGGTGGCCACCATATTCTCCATATATCTATAGGGTGTCCCAGGCTGAGCGTGCATTAGAAGATTCTAGAGAACTACAAGATCCAGACCGGAAATTTTTTGCACATCTTTGTTTCACAATGAGATATATCAATTAAAAATATTTTCAATATGACTGTACTTCCAGAAATACCGGAAATGAGTAGCAGCTTTATTTTAAATGGGTACACCCATTTTTTTATCATATATTTAAATTCTCTACAAAATTTTATAAATTTTTATATCAAACACTCTGTACCTAACATCTCGCCTAACATTAACCGTTTTTGAGAAAAAAAAATATTTAAAATTTTTGGAGGAAAAAAACTGCCTCTCAAAAAAAACTTTATAGCCTAAACGTCAAATTTAGTGACTACCATAGCCACTGTGACATAAGGAGAACACATATAGCTATCTATTTCAAAAATTAAATTGTTTGAATGTCATAAAATATTGGCATTAGCTGCCAATAAAATACGAGATATAGTTTTATAAATATACTTTATAAACTTTTAGCAGCAGTATTTGTAATATAGAAAATTCAAATAATTAATTTTTTGACAGATGGAAATAAACTGTCTGATAGTCTGGCACTTAATTTCAAAGGAAGCTGGATAAAATCAAGAAAAAATACGCTCTAAAACTAAATCTTAAATCATTTAAGAACGATTTATTTTAGGTATAGGAACATGTATAATCAAAAAATAACGAATTGAAAATCCCTTTTTCTAATGAAATAAAAAAAGGGGGTTTCCATTTGAAAAAATGTTTTATGATAACTTTTAAAACAAAAAAATTCCTATCTAGATCTTGTAGTTCTCTAAAAACTTCTAATGCACGCTCAGCCTGTGACACCCTGTATATCTCTGATTATTACATTTTACATTTTTCGTAGATAAAGACCGCATCATATTCAGAATTTTTGTTAAATATGATTTGATTGCTACGTTAGATTTTATATGGCTATTCTTTAGATCTTATAACCTACATGGATATGTAAATTCGCTTCATTTTTGTAGAAAACATATCAGAGACATTCGATAATCTGACAGTCTCTGTTTTTGACGCAGACTTGAAGAATCATGTCATTCCTTCGTGTATATATATCATTTTTAAGAAACATATTAAGTGTTAAACCAAAAACCATACAAACATGGACAGACGATACGCGACATAAAACTTCATTCAGAACCTAGCAATTAGTGGAATAAATTAGTGGTTTCAATTAGTCTAGAAGTTTGTTCCTTTAATTTCAATGTAAGCATTCAGAACGTCAAAATTAGTGGTAGACATTTTCAATTAGTAGAAAAAGTTATCGAACTTTTAACTTTCCCACTTCAAAATTTGCGAGAAATATAATTTTGGCCTTTGATTATATCTTCCGTCAAGATAAATTGTAGTTAGAAATCAAAAGTTTATTGTTTTATAAGTTTAATATTTGGCTTTCTTGTTGTTGCTAGGATATTCTTTTAATTTTAATTGTGTTTTTTAAATATTGTGAATGATCGTAAACTAAAAAGTATAGAGTGTAATTGAAACCACTAAGTTATTCCACTAATTGCGAAGTTCTGAATGAAGCTTAAAGGTTACAGACGGCAGAGAAAAAATGAGGATAATTAAAGATATTTTACTTTTCAATACCAAACGTATTTTAATGTCGCTAATTCGCCGATGTTGTGTTTTCAAGAAGTATCTAAAACAAATTAGCATTATATGAGTTAAATTGAAATAATATAAAAAATATTTCCAAAATAATATATACACACAAGACAGATGTATATGTTAACCCTGTTCTAGAAAAAGATAAGTGGAAAAATGAATGTTTTAATTATAGAATCAAAGTTGTCTATCTATGTATACGATCTAACGTTATTTAAACTTGGCGTCTTGACTGTACTAGAAAAATAGCAAATAAAAATGTAAAATAATATATGTCAAAATATTGTCAATTCTGCAACTTTTCAAAAACTATTTAAAACTATTTTCTGAGTGTAACAGAATATTTAAGAATATGCAATATTCTTCCATAATTTGTAAAACTATGATTTACCAATATTTCTAATTTATAACACTTCCTATGTTATAGAAAATAAATAAATTTTCCGCAGTTTAGTCTCTAATAACAAATAATTAAACATTCTTAAAACCAGTAAACCTTTATAACATACAAAAATAAAAAAACAGCAATATATTTAAAAATACGACGATAAATTAATCACATTTATAAGCTATCCCTAAAATTGTAATCTAGCAAATAAATAAAAACGTATACAAGTCTAAATGAAAATATTTAGAGTGGCAATAGTTGATTATTTAAGAACCATTAACGAAAGCAGTTGTTCTAAACTCTACAGAAAATGCTAGAAACTTACAAGCATATAATTGTTCTATAAACTAAAAGAAGACAATAAGAAGCTGCTAAATTATGACCTAAGAAACGAAATCTTAAACTTCTTTAAAAAACTTATCTCATAATTTACCAGTTTCTAATGCTATACTACTACTGCATTCTAGCGGAGCTAAACAGAATTATATTGTCACTTTCTAGCGTATAATTTCTAATAAATCAATAATAAAATAAAATTTCTTTGCAATTTTACTCACTTGCGATATACGTGTATAAGTTTACGTAAGCTAATATTGAGACGATTCTAAGAAGATGATATTTCGAAATAATACTCATAACACCGAACATGTATCTTGTAGCCGATTTTTAATCTAGATAGAATAATTCTCTCTATGTACCTATCTACGTGTCTTGCTCAAAGGATGGGATCAAAACGGGATTATCAAATAAAAGTGAGATTTTCATAACGGGATTATCAAACTACAAGTGATTATAGTTATTCAAAATGGGTTCATTAAATTAAAAATGGGATTATCACTTCCCAAAACGGGATGATCAAATGAAAAGTGGGATTTTGGAAACATGATTATCAAATAAGAAGGATTATAATTGTTAAAAACGGTATTATTAAAGTAAAAATTGTATTATTAAATTACAAATAGGATTATCATTTTTCGAAATGGAATTATCAAATAGAAATGGCATTCTTGGCATCGAGATTAATAAATAAAATGTAATATCTATAAAATATCTCAAAACGGGATTATTAAATTGAAAATGGGAATATAGTTTTTCAAAATGGTATTATTAAATTAAACATGGGATTATCATTTAAAATGGGATTATCAAATTAAAAATAAGATAATAATTTCTCAAAATGGGATTATCATTGCTTAAAAGGGGATTATAAAATAAAAATGAGCTTATGATTTCAAAATTTGATTCTAGTAAGCACCTGTCGCCATCTGCAGAGCCCTCCCCGTCACTAGAGGCCGAGGAACCCTGTTTGGACAACCGTACGTCACCTGGCAGTACTTCTTCAGATCTATGTACAGTGAAAGACGTCTTACCCCTCCGCCCGAAGCCCATCCGCCTTTTTCGACCTAGGATATGTTAATTTTAAACTTTTAACTATTATAATAGGGATAGATTAAAATGATTTTATCAGTATATATTATAAGGTAAAACATTTATATTTTTATGTAAATTCCTTAATATATTCACAATCTCGTAAGTATTCTTTTGCTACACATATAAATAAGGAGTAATACTTAAAAAATGAAACTGGGACTTTAAAATAGATAAAAAGGATGAGCAACAACACGCATCGCATACACCTAATCTAGTTATGACTATAATTCAGTGTAAAAAAAGTTTCTACATAGAGGACCCTAATACATCAAATACATCGAAATACAGTTTGTGTTTTTCAGATATTTTATCAAATATAATTAATAAATAGCACACATATTTTATACCGCTTTTAATTACTTACCGACAATTTTTTTACTTATAGAAAAATATACGTATATATAGAGTTCTTTTTAACAAAATGTAAATATTATTATATCATAAATATTTATATAAATCTGGAATATGTTAAGTATAAAATTAAATAATTAATTAAATAATATCTCTTACCTGTGGCTGAGAGCTGGCTGGTTGAGTTGCTCTTCTTGCCTAAACCAACAAATTGGTTCTGTCTGTCTCTATCTCTCTCTCGACCATCTTTTCTCTCTCTTTGAGGCACTTCCAACCCGTGTACTTGGCCTACCGCTGTGTCACTCAAACTACCATCTACAATACCATCAATAATTAGTATTTATTCTATTATTAATAAAGGGGGGAAAATATGATAAAGAAATGAAACAAAAAAATGAAGAAATAAGAAAAGACAAATTTCTAAAAGTATAAGAAAAAAAAGTAATAAAAGAAAAACAGAAAATAAAAAAGAATAAATTATACTATTATGACCTGTTTTTTCGTCTGTTGGTGGTTCGGTATTGGACAAACTCCTTGTGAATTGTCCGCGTTTGACGCTGCCATCTCTCCGATGATGGTGGTGATGGTGATGCGGTTCGTCGTGATACCTATGATAATGGTGCTGTTCCAACAAGTCCGAATCCCTGGAGTCTCTTTGATCCGAGTCTCTGTCTTTTGAGTTTCTTGGCACGCTTCTGTATCCGCTGGGATAACTGCCATATTCGACACTAAAAATCGATAAGAATGATTATTAAAATTAATAAAATCTACCCTAAATAATTACGTTAATTATATATTGAACATAGAAAATCCCATGTAGATTTTGAAAATGATAAATAAGTTTTGATAAAATGATAAATAAGGTGCTCGGTGACGTAGAGGTACAGGCTCTCGTCTACCAATCTCAAGGTGTGGGTTCGATTCCCACACCCGGCATTCCATCAGCCGACTATTTTTATTAAAATAAAAATAGTTTGGGTACCTAGGTCGACTCAGCCTTAAATGAGTACTTGGGGTTCACAATCCTGAGGTAATAATAGGTGGTTAAAGCGTAGTCCTAGCCACATTACCTTCCTTGTATACCGAACGGGTCTAGTATAGCAAGCTGTACCTTGCTACTCCCAAGGCGTTAAACGCTATATACGGGAGCTATTATTATTATAAATAAGTTTTCGCCATTGTATTTTACAGAAAAATTTATTTGAAAAATGTTTTAAAGATCGTCTTAAAACGAAACGAATTGTTCAAAAATATAATTTTTTGATATCATATTGACTTTACAAGTGCCAAAAATAATTTTTAAATATGAATTACCTATACAACTGAAGAAAGAAAGTATAGTTTAGTGGTATTATGGAGGAAATAATCTGCAACAGATTGAAATTGCACAACAGATTGAAATTTTAAATACGATGTGTTTTAAGCGAAAATGACGAAAGTTGACATATGTCATTCTGTCCAGAGTGTTATTTTTTATCGAATAAAGTAACAAAATACCAAGGGTACCATTTAAAAATTAAGAATAGTAGTCATTTTCGGTGAAACAGGAAGTGATCGAAAACAGCTGAATACGTCAATCAATTCTGATTTATGTCGTGTACTAACGTACCAAATCTCGTTTTTAAAAACATACATCTGTGTTTTTGAATATATTTTACGTAATGAAATCAAAGCATGTCTATTATTTTTCTCTATAAATTAAAACAGACAAGTTCTTCGAGACAGACTTTTCTGTCTCTAGCTTCTCAATTAAATATTGCTACTCGCATTTTTTTCTATTCGATATTTTTTCACTCTATTGACTCGTTGCCAAGTTATAATTTGAATATCAGCGGCATATCATTTATCAAGCAACGACCTAGACCAGTGTGTTCGTTTATTGACTCAACTGTGATATTCCGGCGCCATTTTTTCTCTTCGTCTAGCAAACCCACTCGTTTTTATCATTTTTCGGTACAGCATCTTATCCAATCGCATTGTATGGTGCCAAAAAGAACAGTGATTTATCATTACTTGACTGCAGTATCTTGATAATCTTTATCTGCATCTTAAAACACATTTGTATTTCTGTTATGAAATGTTTTAAATCATGTTTTCGTAAATTCATACTTTTCGAATAACATTCAAGACGTATATTTTCAATCAAATCTGATACAAAATGGGTAGGAATAAGTAATAGTTTTACCTCCGATCTGGTTGATTTGCTAGAAAAATGTAAAATACGAAAAGCATTTTTTAATTCGATCATCCATATACTCTGTTTTACCACTCAGGGAAGATTTTGACAGACTATGACAAAAAAATGTCAGATAACAAAAGTATCTAACAATTTTTAAGTTAACTATGGACGAATTTAAACATAAATTATAATATTACACATCATTAGTTTATTTAGAAATGAAAGATCATATTTCAAGGTGTCCGGTGGCGTAGAGGTAAAGCTCTCGTCTCAGGACAATCTCAAGGCTGTGGGTTCGAATCCTACACCCGGCATTTCATCAGCCGACTATTTTTAATAAAATAAAAATAGTTTGGGTACCTAGGTCGACTCAGCCTCAACCTAACTTAGCGGAAGTTTCTTGAAGTTTGAAAGTAAAAAATAATTCTTTTTTATAGTATTTTTCTGCATGGTGTATTGTTTAACATAGCTGGTTACTACTTGTTAGCTTGTTACTTACTTGTTTTGCATTAACAGACCCTACTTTCTTAAATAAAATAACTCGATTAGATTTTTCAGTTCTATACATTTTTTTGTAATATTTTGGGAATTAAGTTGTTTCAAGACTTGAGTTACAGTAAGATTATTCTGAATAATCGAAAGACGAATTTTATACCATCCTGTAAATCTCAAGATTAATATAAAGTTTAAACCAAGTGAATCATATACAAATAAATTATGTGAAGATAAAAGTAATAATTATAGGAAAAATATAAATCTAAATCTCACATCACTAACCTAGCCATTCTGCTTCCTCTAGGCCTCTCACTCTGCGTAGAAAAAGCACTGCTAGTGACCGAAACGACTGATTCCATATCACTATCAAAATCTCCCAATCCTAGAGGATCTCTATCTCTGTCTCTGTCAGGCGATACCAGTCTTCTGGTGTGACCAGATCTCACGTGACTCGTCAGATCGCTGTCACTCAGTCCGCTGTAGCGTCTCTCCCAACTTGAACCGGTACTGCGGTACGTGTGGACGTACTTGCCTCTGCGATTGCTGCTGCTCATGGTGCGATCTTCTAAATCTTGAGCCACCCTTTCCTAGAAATAAAAAAAAAGATAATCTAAGACTGCAGTTTTTCTAAAAAGTACGTTGGACTATTTCTTACCTGAAGTGTTCTAACTAAAGCTTGCGGAACCTGAGGTAGTTGTCTCTTCTTCGGTGACCCCGTTGGAGTTGCTGTGGCGGATCTGGATTGAAACCTGGAATTGACCGCTGGAGTGTTCGAGCAATCCGGTGGTGATAGTGATCGGTAGTCTGTTGGTCCCCTTCTTGGCGATTTCGATCGAGATCGAGACGAGTGCACCACTTGAGTATCACAAGGGGCAGCCGAATGAGACCTCTGACCCATCATGCCGTTCTAGAAATCAAGAAAAATATTTTAACAATTATTTGTAGTATACCGTGTGCGTCTTAAAAGTAGCTCGCCCCATGTGTGTTAGTTTATGACATAAATTAGGACTGACTGACGTATCCAATAATAATTGTTTTCGATTGCTCCCTGTTTCATCGGAAATGACTACAACTTTTGATTTTTAAACTCGGTAAACAACTCGGTATTTTTTTACTTTATTATCTAGAATGCCATGCATGTGTTAAAAACACATTTTTAATTAAGGAGCATTGGAAAAATATATTTGTCCGGACCCGTTATAAAATGCCCAAATCGTATTTTTAATCATATCTCATTTTTTTCAAATGGAACAAAGATGGTACAATGGAATGCAAGGAAGCATTTTTTTACAAATAATTTGGTACCACAAACTTGGTATTTCGAGTCAAATATCATTATGAACCGCATGTATAAAATAAACCATATGCGAAAATGTCTAAAATTGACATATGAAATATCATTCTATTCAGAGTGTCATTTTCTATCGAATAATGTAAAAATATACTGGGAGTGTCATTTAAAAATTAAAAGTTGTAGTCATTTCCGGTGAAACAGGAAGTGGCCAAAAACAATTGAATACGTCAATCAATTCTAATTTATGTTATGTACCATGGCTGAGAAACTTAAATGGAAATGACGGTTCATTAAAAATAGTTTTTCCTCCAAGATGCAGAGGCGCAAAATATTAAAACTGTCAATATTATCAATGTAAATGTCAATATCTGACAATAATAAAATTTGATTTTTAACTGTCACTCAAAGACGCTTTTGTTGTGATTTTACGGTTTGATTTCGTTTTGATTTGTCGAATTATTGTAAAATTAAATTCCTTCAGAGTTTTTGCCAGTATTCTGTTTTAGACAATGTTTTTTAAAAATGGTGGGACAATTTGTGTTTTGTATAGACTCTTAATTATTTTTTATCATGGAGTTTAATTGTTGTACACCTGGTTTCCGAAGGATACAATGGTAAGTAAATTAAACATATCTACTTACAGTTATAGATTTTTTAAATTAGTACTGCTTATAAATGCTACTTGCTGAGCAGTTATTTAATTTTTTTTACGGTGCATGTAAGGAATTAAGGACGCGCGTTGTGTTATATTAGCATGATCAGCAGATGATTACATCTAATTTAATTTGTTTTTATTATTTCAGGTCTCAAACGGAAACAAACTGGGATTCTTGCCTACACCAAAATTATATAGCCGTTTCCAATTCACTTCAAAGGGAGGAAAATTATGTACTGCCTGCTATTTGCTGAAAACCGCCAAAGATTAAATTATAACTGTAACAACTTAATATATACCATTTCTAGTCTTTTTAATATATTTTTTAATTAATATCCGACATATAAGAACACTTTGTATGCTTTTAATTAAGTTGATTTATCGTTTATAATATGTTCGACCTAATTAAAAGCACACAAAGTGTTCTTATATGTATGTCTAAATTTATTTTAAATTAACTAAAACAACCCCCCTTCCCCGCACCCCTCTCTTCCATTAGTATTTCTTCCTCCGACTACCAGAGGCGCCCTTGTATAATAAAATTGAAATGTATTATAAGTTGCCTATCTATTTAATAGTATAAGTCTTTTATCTATGTTATGTACTAACATAACAAATCTCGATTTTTTATCTAAAAAAATAAAAATTACAGGGGTGAGCCACTTTTAACACGCACCCAGTATAAATGTTGTGCTTGTTTAACATTATAAAACTGCAAAATATGACGTTATTTAAAATTCAAAATCAATAACAATTTATCAAAGAATGAAAACGAAATTATATTATCATAGAAACGCGTTTTGATTTTTATGACTTATATACAGGGTGGCGCACCTCATTCGCCCCGGGTACGAAAACGGAAAGATGTAGAAACAAAATATTTTATGGGTATATATGTGGGGAGGTAATGTGCACAATTTAAAATTATTTTGAAATGTACAGGGTGTTTCAGAACTAAGATCCATACCAAAGTTATATTTTTTCTTATGGAACACCCGCTATTTTATTTCATTTTTGGATTCTTGGGCCCAAAAAAAGGTATTTACTATTAGGGTTAAATATGTTTAAAATCTTTGGTTTTTGAGATATTTAAAGATATTTAAATTTGCATGCTACAATAAAATAGATTATTAACACCCTGTACTTTACTTTTCAGAATTAGTTCTTGTGCTTAGTTTAAAGGTAGAGAAATAAACTTTACAGAAAAATGTTATTCCTTCCTTAAATGTATACAGGGGTATCAAAAATTGCTGGTCTATTTTAAATATTTACTTTACATAAAAACTTCGTTATTTCAAATGCAACACTATGTATTTTTTTAAATAAGTCGAAGCAGATTTAAATGCTCTTTCAAACTATATTAGGGTTTCCTATACCTATCTGGCTCAGATTTTGAATAAAATTGGATTTTTCAATAAAATTGTAATCAAGAAAGCTAGTGTTGTCATGGCAACGAAGAGTTCACAAGGTTATTTTTTTTTTGCTTTTTTTTGGTTACAAGGTTTTTTTTTTGCAAGGGAAGGAACCAATACCATTTTTCAGTAAAGTTTATTTCTCTACCTTTAAACTCAGCATAAGAATTAATTCTGAAAAGTAATGTACAGGGTGTTAATAGTCTATTCTATTGTAGCATGCAAATTTAAATATGTTAAAATATTTTGTTTCTACATCTTTCCGTTTTCGTATAATCAACCGAGGCGAATGAGGTGCGCCACCCTGTATATATGACAGCTATATCTTCACATTTTTTTTAATTTCCTTTAAAACGGTATGGAAATTTTGAAAAGTATAAACAGGTTTAACCATTTCAGAACAAGCAAAAAAATTATGAAGAATGCATTTTTCTCAAACTGCCAATAATAAAAAAGTTTTTCCTCTTGTAAAAACAATCCGGGGAAATACTGCATATATGTATAATAATAGAAATAGAATGGAAGATGTTTTAATAAAAAGAATAAAATCCTCTTATACTCGTTATACACAATACAGATTCCGTCTTAGTTTACTACTTTTAAAAAAATGGTCACAGAGTCAGCTTCTTTTATTTTTCTTTTATAGCAAAATAGAAATGTACAAATATTTTTGTAAGTAAATATACTAATTCTTTGGTCTATTTATATAATATAAATAAATTTTATCTGTTGACAAGATTTAGTTTTATTTTTACCTTTAGAAGAATCTTTTTCTTATCCATTGACTATATGACAATTTACTTTCCTCATTTTCTCTACTACTTTAAACGTTATAAATACAGATTTGTTCACCACATACGACACGGAGTATTGTAGCTAAATGATTAGATTTTTACAAATTGTAAGTTTTGGGTTCGTTGAAGGACTATTAGAGCTACAATTTAAAAATATTTTACAAGATACAGAGTGTCCCAAATAAATAAAAAATATCACAAAACACCCCGTATATTATTACATTTTTAGGTTCTACGATTAAAATAAAGGTAAATTTGATTAAGACTTATTACACTTAAACCTTACAATTTTTGAAATATTTTCAATTTTGTGAAATTGCAATAAAAATGTTAAGGCTTCATTTCTCCAAGGGTATCAAAGTTTTTAATACTAAATATTTACTGAAGTTTATTTATTGATCAGTTATTGTGTTGCAATAATAAACATAATACTACCTCATACAGAGTGTCTAAAATTTTATTTTAAATCATTTCTAGCTTTAAACGGCAATAACTTGTTTAATTTAAATGGAACGCCCTGTATATTTTAGGCAAATCAGATGTACGATTTAATTGTCTATCAAATTGTATTATACCACTTTTACCTATCCCTTCAAGTTTTCGTAGAAAATGCATTTTCTTATAATTTAGACCTCATTTATCAATATACCCATGGAATATTGACATTTTAGATTGTTTTTAAAGCAACAAATATACAAAATGTACAGGTTAGTAATATTATCGTTTTTAGCAAAATGATAATATTACTAGCCCATTTGTATACAAAAAGAAAACCATTTAAATCTTTATAAAAGAGTATACCATTAATTAAATATACCACCATTATTTCCGCCTAAATACTAATTAATTACATACTTAATTATGTTCGTTCATAAATGATTTTAAATAAATGTTGATTTCGATCAGAAATCAATATAATAATAAGTTATGAAAGTGAATGTCTCTGTTGTTATAAATAGGCATTTGTCAAAAAACGAAATATAATTTTTAAGGTCTTACTTTTTACTACACTGTCTAATACACATACAAAATTCAGTTTTTTAGTATTTGGAGCAATTATTATTAATCAACGCAAACAGTCAATTAATGTAGTTTGAAAACTGAAATCATATTAATTGGTGCTCTTTGACAAATATTTAAACAGTTTTTTTTATTTTTTAATGAAATAAACAAACTATATCGTCAATATTAGTATCTGTACTCTTTAAAAATTTGGTACATCTTTAAAAATAATCTAAAATGTCAGTATTCCATGGGTATATTGACAAATGAGTTTTAAATTACATGAAAATGCATTTTCTGCGGAAACTTGAAGAGATAGGTAAAAAATGGTATAATACAGTTTGCTAGACAATTAAATTGTGCATCTGATCCTTATAAAATATACAGGGTGTTCCATTTAAATTAAACAAGTTATTGCCGGTTAAAACTAGTAATTATTTAAAATAAAATTTTAGACACTCTGTATAAGGTAGTATAATTTTTATTATTGCAACACAATAACTGATCAATAAATAAACTTCAGTAAATATTTTGTGTTAAAAACTTTGATACCCTTGGAGACACAAAGCCTTAAAATTTTGACTGCAATTTCACAGAATTGAAAATATTTCAAAAACGGTAACGTTTAAGTGTAATAAACCTTTATCAAATTTACCTTTATTTTAATCGTAGAAACTAAAAACGTAATAATATACAGGGTGTTCCATTTTAAAAAATACAACTTTGATATTTTTTATTTATTTGGGACACTCTGTATCTTGTAAAAATATTTTTAAATTGTAGCTCTAATAGTCCTTCAACGAACCCAAAACTTACAATTTGTAAACATCTAATCGTTTAGCTACAATACTCCGTGTCGTATGTGGTGAACAACCCGTAGAAAAAAATTAAATTACAAAAAAAAATAATATAAAGTATGAGCTTAAAATATTATAGGCACATAGTTTTTTAAAATTTTGTTTTTTTCAACATATATGTTTTTGTCTCTAAAACAATTCTTTAAGTAATCTTTAGAGCACTAATGCAACACTAAAGAATGACGAGCTCTGATACGAAATGCACTCGAATTCTGACGACTAATCAGATTATTCCACGGTTCGCAATCGCTTGCAACGCAACCTTATTATAACCAACTTGAAATAAAATCGATACACCTTTGGTAAACTTAACAAGTTTAATACAATATAAACTGAAATTCAGACTCGCACATAGAGAGTATTGTCTTATGAAATAACGTATTAGTAATAATTATATTGTTTGAATTTGTACGATCGGTGGTTTCTAATCAATAGATTTCAATGAGGTATTGTTAAAGGATTAATTGCATTCGAAATAGAATGAATGAATTACAGTGAAATAAGTAAATTTATAATAGTCGATTTTTTTATTGGTACAACCTGTCACATGTTGCCAGATTGTCGCATTTTACAGAAAAAGTAATTAAATGTAAATTTCTGTTTCATTTTTAGGTTAAAAAGGAAAAAAACGGAACCCTTATAGTATTACTTTGTTGTCCGTCCGGCAGTCTGTCAAGCCCCTTTATCTAGAAAACGCTTGGAGGCTTTGAATAAGAAGACTAAGGAAGGAGCATATCAAAAATCTTAGGTCCACCGCATGGTACAAAAAATACAAGGTATGATATTGCGCAGGTTGGTCGCTACGTCACAGGTGATAACAGGCGCTATTGGTCAGCACTCTCCGCGCGCCAGTTCAAATCGTCAAGATATTGTTATAAACCTGTTTTTTTTTTGTTTATATACCGTCATTGAATTATCGCTAAGCAAGTTACTAAGTTGTATTCTATAGTTTATTTTTGTAGTATAAAAAAAAGAACTATTTATTCTGTTATTTTTTAATCTCCGTTATTAATATAAATTGATTGTTAGTACAACCTCATTTAATATAAAATAATATTCTACTTTTTGAAATGTATCGGGCCCTAATTGTACCTAAAAGTAATATATTTTTAGTGATATACCATATTGTAAACTATTTAATATTTCAGTCACTTAAAAAGTTAATTTGCATTGAATAATTGCCTACCATTAAAGGAATTTTGAGCTATATATAACCCTTGATGGGCATATTCTGGTATGCAAATACTTCCTTTAAATTTTGGGTGTCGTTCAACCGATTTATTCTCAAAACCAGAAACTTCTACATATAAAAAGAAGCAGAGGTCACTAATTATAATAAACTTCACCCTTGGTATTACTTCCACTAATTATAATAAACTTCACCCTTAGAATTACTTCTATCACAATTACAATACGTTCATCTGCATTGGCATTTTCTACTTTTCGATGGGAAACAATAAACTTCCCAATATTTTTTAAATGATGTAACAATTCCTCTTGTGGTTACTTTTCCATAGATATCCTCAACTCTGTCCTCATGTGAATTCAGAGGCAATGAAAATGAAAATTATTTACCATAAACATCGCAAACTAAAAACCTAATAAACAATTTTATACCGAATATAGAAATAAATTCAGTATTCTTACCTATCGTCCAAATCCATGTTAATAGATAATTATTATTTTTAAACATATTTTTGGAACTGCTGGTTTTAGTAATTATTAAATTAAACGAACTAAAAAGTCTTAAAAATAAACAATTCTTAGTCCATAACCCCAAAAATGCAGATCTCCTGTCAACTTTCTTTATTTTTTATTTATTCATTATTTTCATAGTGACGTCACAGGTGGTATGCGCGAACTGAACGAAATTGGAGCCCTATCGATCATACCTTGTATTCTTTGTACCATGCTACTGAAGCAGGTAAGTCAAATTGACGTATCTAAATTCTTTGACAAGTAGTAAAAAAGCAAAATGCAAGAAAAATATATAATTGGATTAATTTAAGTGAATTCCATAAATGATCGGTTTACTACATGTATATATTATATAGTCACTTACTAGCGAAAAGTTGTTCCATTATTTCCACTCGATTTTTGCGATTTACCATGCACGCTACAACTACAATACAACCAACTATTTTTAGAGTCTCTTTTCGATAAATCGCGATAGTGTCACCGTTAATTTAAGTTCTGCCACAATTTCCATCTAGATGTACTACCTTTATACAACTATCAGTAGTAGAATAAATAACAAATAACATAAAATAATCTCCGTAAAGACTGAAAAATCCACAAAATTTCAAATCAAATTCAAATAAGCATGTCAAATGGATCGTCAAACAGAACTGTCAAGGATCCCCAACCTAGAGTCCTTTTTCCGCCCACCATGCATGAATACATGGATAGCATTATGCTCCTTCCTTAGTCTTCTGATTCAAAGCTTGGAGGTATCGAATTGAAATTAAAACCATATATAGAATGTTCAGCCATTGTTCAACATCGCGTCATATACTCTCCGTCGAACTCTTTCAAATCACTTGCCAACCAGATGAAAGAGATTGCTTTGACATCATTATGGCATTTCGTAAATTATTGCATATTACTGCGTATTCTATAATTTTATTGACGGAAATCGATCAATGTCGAAATTAAAAATTTGATCGTTGCTGTAAAACAAAATTCAAATTTTTTGTTGCAAAAATGTCCCAAAGATTTAACAAAATGAACAAGAGCTTATTGCTAAGCTTATAAATTATTTTTTCTCGAAGAGAGACGCTTTCTTGCCCGTGGACGCCCTAATAATAATAAAATAAATACAATGCTTGCTGAAGCTTTAGAAATAGAATTTCAACAGTTCTAAGGATTGGAATAAAAGGGATCGTAAAACTGATGAAGAGTTCAAGAAAAAAAATAATAAAAATGCCGTGGTGAACAGACTTTACTCATATATCGAGAAACTATGGTTACTCTCGTTGAATTTGACACTTTATGTCAGTTTAATAATATATTTTGAAGTGTCAGATTCAACGAGCGTAACCATAGTCTCTCAATATATAATTACATACAAGGTATGACTTTTAAATATTTTTATATTATTTCGAACGTTTGAAATTGTTTAAAAACTTATTTGTGGCGTTTGAAAAAAATAGCATGTCCTATTCGAAGTAAAAATGACTTTTTGTGGCTCGGCTGTATGTCAAACGTATAGTCTCACCGCAAAAAGTATCCATTTTTATTCCTAATAAAACAATATGCCTAATTATTTAAAATTAATATAACTTTTTTCCAATTCTGGTGTAAACTAAGCGATGTAATTTCATTATTTAAATTATTAAAATATTCATAATATTACTTATCATGATACACATTTTATTTATTAGCCAGTCTTTTTTTCCAAAACCAGCTCAACATCTGCGCTGAACTAACTACGAAGCTGAAGCTAATCTTATTTTCCCAAGTTACTGCCTTAAATACTAAGGTGATTGCCACTAGAATCACATAGAAATAATTCTAAAACAATAACTATCTTACCCTTTTGTATTTTTGATTGTACGATTGCATTGATTCCTGATCTCTTCTAGACTTTCTCTCTGATTCCCTTGGAGGACTGGACGAGCTGCCCACGCTGCTCACACTAGCACCGTCGGCACCTCGGCGTTCTCTGCCACCCTCGATTTCACACTCTGACGGTGTATCACTGTCGGAAAATCGACTGCCTGTGCTTGGAGGTGATAGATGTTCACTGGGCGTCAGAGCAACCTTAAAAAGATATTATGTCATTTCATAGGTGATTATTTACACAATTATAAATTTTTATGGGTACAGGCTCTCGTCTACCAATCTCAAGGTTGTGGGTTCGAATCCTACACCCGGCATTTCATCAGCCGACTATTTTTATTAAAATAAAAATAGTTTGGGTACCTAGGTCGACTCAGCCTTAAATGAGTACTTGGGATTCATAATCCTGAGGTAATAATAGGCGGTTGAAGCGTAGTGCTAGCCACATTACCTTCCTTGTATACCGAACGGCTCTAGCATGGCAAGCTGTACCTTGCTACTCCCAAGGCGTTAAACGCTATATACGGATACGTCAGCTATTATTATTATTATAATTTTTTATATTAAAGGATCATTATCAAATATATACGGAAATTATACACTGGAAGTTTTATATGTATAGAGTCCCAATATGTCCCAGTACTCCGTGAGTTTAGGAATAACGTGTATTACGTGTTTTTGGAATTGGACACAATAATTTACCTCTATACAAAAATTCTTCGTTTGGCCGTTAGAGAGCCTCAAACCTTAAAAAGAAGACACATTTTTAAAATAGGCTCCCCAAATCTCAATCAAATCGGAACATCGGTTTTTCTTAAAAAATGTGTTTATTTTTATGAATTTAATGCCCTCTAATGGACAAACGAAGCACTTTTGTGTCTAATGAACTAATTTTGACTCCAGAAATACGTAATAGTTCTATGTCCACGGAATATGGGGACACCCTGTATATATATATTTTTTCTATTAACTACAATAATATTTGTTTTATAAGATTTTCTTTTATGTTTTTCTGTTTTGTACTGCGTACCAAGTAATGCTGCATATTTTCCTTTAGTTTATTTTGTTTTGTGTCTTTTTTCTTCCAAAGGAAAACTTCCTGGTTCAAGGCTTCAACAGTTAAGACGTAAAAATATGTAAATACTGATGAAAATAGCAAGAAAAAACAACATTTTCTAAATATTGCGCATTAAATTTAAACGCAAAATATTTGGATAGGATGTTATCAAAGGTTATAGTATTTGATTAATTTAAAAATTTTTGTCAACATAGATCTATAAAAATACTAATTTATAAAAAAAATCGCTTGAAAGTTCAAGTTTTTGTTTTAGAGAGTTATTTTTTTTACTTATACTTCTACCTTCTACAATAACGTGATTATTTATTAATTAATATTATTAAAATGTTGTTATTACTATTAATTTTGATTAACTTGATATTTTTGCTACTGTTAAAGTATCACCTTTTCTGATAACTAGTGTCACCGTTTCGGTATCATGAAATATATAAACTTTGTGCTTCTTTAACATTTTAGTATAGCTAGATATGTGATGTTAATCAGAATTAATAAGAACCATCTATCAAAGAGTGAAAACGAAATAATATTACCATAGAAACGAGTTTCGATTTCAAAAAAAAGTCAACAGCATATAGATAATTTTTATTTTTCTTTAAAACAGTATGGAAATTTAGAAAAATATAAAAGAAATTAACGATTTTAGAGCAAGCGAACGTTTTTTGTGATAAGGAATGCATTTTTTTTTAATGTTAAGAATAAAAAAATGTCTCCTCTTCTAAAGACAATCCGAGGACAGACTGTATATAAAAGTCACTCAGGCCAGTTGTAAACAAATTTATAAAACTTTCTTGAAGCCTATATAGAAAGAAAATAATAAAAGAAAAAAATATTTTAGAAAGCTGTTTTGGTTATATACAAAAAATATAATAATATATCACAACAAAAATATATAATAATATCTTCTATGAAGAATCCATTAGTATTTCTACAAAACCCATTATTTTTTACTAACATGCTTTTTGGTAATGCTATGTTATAATATTCATCATCAGAAATATTATTAAATATACAGTAGAATCTTAAATAAGTGCCCATATTATTGGGAGTGGTATATTTGGATTCCAAACAATAAGAAAAATGGCAACATAGGTAGGTTATAGATTAAAAATTTACTAAAAATATATTTTTTAAATTTCATAATAAAATACCTCTTAAACCATCTTAAGATGTAGCGTTATTATTCTGTTATAAATTAGTTATACTGTTTTTTAATTAAATGTACACTAGTTTAAGATAGTATAATTAAAGCAATAATTACCTCTTCGTGAGGTCCTAAAGTTCTCCATGCAGCTTGTTCATCTAAGGGCCACAGTTCCACAATTGCTTCTCCTAAAAAATCGTTTGCCCCGTATCTTACATAGTCCCAAACAGTTATTTCTAACGCCCGAACTCTTAGATCTGCCCTTCTAAGACCTGAGTAGACAAACGTTTGATTCCACATAGGTTCTGTTGTACCTAAAACAATTTTAAAATGAATTTTAAACACTTTAACCTAAAATTGTAATAAATTAAGGACATCAGAGCCATTTAAAACTCATATCGTTGTTAGATAGAGGCGTAATCTATTGCATATAGCGTATATCTATTACCGGAATTGCACTATGGCCTTAAATTAAAACCAAATGACATTTACACTCAAATATAGTACAAACAAAATGGTTTATTTCGCGTAAATCTACTAAAACAATATAAATTAAGTTAATAAAACAAAGGGAAATATTAAAAAGTCACTAAATCAAATTTAAAAAAAGACTTATATAAATCATTCAGAAGAAGTCTTCCGTCAATTAGAGTGTATTAACAAAGGATTAAAAATAGATGGAGAATATCTTAACCATCTAAGATTCGCTGATGATATAGTTCTAATTACCTACAAACCCACAAATGAATGAACTAAAAATACAGCCAACAATACAGTAGGTGAGTCTCAAAATTAATTTAGCTAAAACTAAAAGTAATATACAACAAACTAGTAGAAAATATATTCTAAATAATAAGAAGAATTTTTTATTTGGGACAACTAGTACACACCTTGGAATCTCTACTACCAGAAATCAACAGAAGAATAAAATTAGTATGGAGTATTTATGGAAGAAACTGAATCATAGTCAAATCTAGAATGAAATATGTTGGGAATAACCATGAAAGACCGTAAAAGAATAAAGTGGATACAAAAAAGATCCAGGTAATAGATGCCATCCACAGAATCAAATCCCTCAAGTGGCAATGGCCAGGTGGAAAGAAGGATGGACAACAGATGGGCCACAAAAATTACAGCATGGTACGTACACACAAAGAATTAAGAGACCTAGAAGACGACCAAACCTAAGATGGGACTATGATATTAAGAAATTAGCATGGATAACTTGGGCCCGCATAGTCAACAATTACAAAAAATGGTATGAAAACACTACAGAGTACTTCATATAAAAATAGTGTACTATACCGGGTGCGTCTCAAAAGTGGCTCACCCCCTATAACTTTTTTATTTTTTTCAGAATATGACATAAATTGAGATTGATTGACATATTCAATTGTTTTCTGTCACTTCCGGTTTCACCGGAAATGACTACAACTTTTAATTTTTAAATGGCACCCTCGTTATTTTTTTACTTTATTCGATAGAAAATGACACTCTGAATAGAATGACATATTGTCAACTTTTGACATTTTCGCATATGGTTTATTTAAAATTGTAACATGGGGTTCATAACAACAATTTGACTCGAAATAGCAAGTGTGTGGTATCAAATTATTCGTAAAAAAATGCTTTTTCCAAATATGCTAATGAGCCACCGTCGTTCCATTTGAAAAAATTGAGATATGATTAAAAATACGATTTGGGCATCTTTTGACCGGCCAGGACAAGACACTAAAAACGTTAGACGATCAAATCTATTTTTCCAAAACTCCTTGATTACAAATTAGTGTTTTTAACGCAGTCATGGCGCTCTAGATTGAAATTTAAAATACAATTTGTTTTTGAGCGAATAAGTCAAAAGTTGACATATGATATGTCATTAGATTTAGAGTGTCATTTACAATGGAATAAAGTAAAAAAATACCGAAAGTGCCATTTACAAACCAAAAGTTGTAGTAATTTCCGGTGAAACAGGAAGTGACCGAAAACAATTGCATAAGTTAATCAATTCCAATTTATGTCATATACTAACTTACCAAATCTCCTTTTTTTATCTGAAAAAATAAAAAAGTTATAGGGGGTGAGCCACTTTTGAGACGCACCCGGTATACATCATATTATTTAAGTATAATCGTATTAGTTAATATTTGGATTTTTTTGACGCTAGTGATAACAGCCAATAAATAATCAATTTACAACCAAATAATGAAAAAAAGAAAATCTACAACCAAATGATGAAAATCAGAATAGACAACTATTTTAATAAATTGTTGTACTTCGTAAAAATGAAATCTTAATTCGACATTCGATAACTTAAGTAATAATTTATATTTAAGTAAAAATATTTAAAAAACTAATTTAGATTTAATCAAAATACCAATACTACCAAAATTTCTAAAATATAAGATTAAATACTATTTAAAAAAACTAAATTGGAATATTTTTTATAAAATGTGTATCGTACCGCTTTGTGTTTATTTTATACCTTTTCGACACCGCTAGGTCCATAATACGGCGATCGCTTAATTTTACACACTCGCACACAATGACAGGCTGTTACTTTGTGCGCCTTGTTTATTAATAAAATGCGGCGTCCGATATCCCCTCCCCGCACCCTCCGCGTCTGTCGTGTAACTGTCGATGTGCGCGATTCCGCTCTTGTATGCCCCCAGAATAAAGTTATACACACACTGATTTACTCTGATGCGCTCAATCATTGCCCGATCAATGCCTTCTATTAAAAGATCAGCCTACGGGCGGACTTTTGTTTACTTCATCAGCTGTACATACTTAGATATTGGGTTAGATTCCGTTTCATATTTTGTCGGTTGATTTTTGGTTTTAACTCTTTGATTTTTGGTATTATTTATTATTGTAGTGCAAAAACTAATAATTATTTTGGTGTTGAAGTGACATAAACTACTACCAGATATATGGTCCCTCTCGGTTTCACGGCAAATAGAATACCAAAAATTACACGTTGCAAGTGATTTAACCTAAAGTGCCCATACATTTTTTTACTTATCGTGATTTTTGTGTGTGTTTTTAAGACTCTAACAATTCATCAATAAAGCTTAAGTGGGGTGTGTTATTGGTGCTATGCCTCATCTTGTTGTGTTCCTGGTGGAAAGGATGGTTACTAAGGATAGTTATTATACTAGGCAGCCTAAAGTGTCCGGAAGAGCAAGAAAAGTGGGTACGAGTTATAAATCAAAGAGAATTTTATTGAAAATATCTTTAATAAATTTAAAAATAATATTCTCCCATGATGGTATTAATGAAACTGGACAATTATGTTTGTTTTATTCATATTATTGAATCTCCACTCCAAGTGTTGCTGGTTCAGCTTTGATAGATTCAAACACGTAGTAGGTATTATGATCTAGGGAAAATAAAGAATATGTGTATTAGAGATCATGAAAAAAAGATTATTATTTTGAGTTCAAATTTTAAAAAAGATTTTTGTAAAGACAAAACTGATACAGTTTAAAAGAAAATGTGTTTTTTGTTTGATAATATAATGTAAAGCATAACATATATTTGTTCAGTAATTTTTAATGAATAGTATTGATTATTTATAATACCAAATTAATATCAAATATTTAAGTGATGGCTGAATACAATATGAATAAAATAACAATAAAATTGGTATATTTGCATAATACAAAGTGGTTTAAGAATAAG